ATATATATATATATATATATATATATATATATATATATATATATATATATATCATCAGAGTTGCAGAGTCGCTTCTGTTACGGAATGGATGCGACGTATACGCCACCAAATAAAAACCTAGAACTTATTCCACGACCGGTAAGACAGCCGCAATGATTCTCAATGAATTATATCCTGAGTTCAAGGATCAATGTTCTTATAAAACCGTATGTGTTTATTTGAATTGTTCATGCATCAATCCTCCATAATTCTTGGTTTGTGCAAATCTTTAGATAGGTTAAACTAAATATATGATTAGCATCATGAATTTCTTTGTGAGATCGAAGTGTCCATGAGGATTTTTCACCGTCTTTGCACTGCTTTCGGAATTTCCACTAAAAGATTCCTTTGATACAAGTTGGCCGATATAGTATATGTGAAAGGGAGGAAGAATACTAATGCAAGCAGGAAAAGTACTAATACTAATGCAGAGTACAGTGGTTGAAAGTTTTTGATTGTACTGGTACAAGGTTGGAATAACTTCCAAGTTTTCCATGGTTAGGCTTCAGGTAATTGAAAATTTTGAAGACACACTAATACTTTCGACTTCACTGTGATATCATAAATCAATAATATTGCATTTGTAAGTAATTTAGTTGGTGGTTAACAAGTTACCACGTTTCGAATGCTCTTTCACGTTGCAAGCTAAAAAGTTCTGTGCGGAAGGCTCGAATAAAAAAGCTGCAAAACAGGTGCTTTCAGCTTCTTTCATTTTTTTTTTTTTTTTTATATCAAATTTCAATTCTCTGCAGCCTTAGATTTATTTTATTATAACATAAGTTATTGTTACAAGTTTATTTCCTTGTTTATCTCTGCAAAGTTTTTTCTCGTGGCTAACGTGTTTTTATTGTTTACAGCTTGCTTGTGAATTAGCTTTGAAGGAATTGCGACCTGATATACTGCTGGACATTTCGGTTTCGGTATCGGAAGCAAGGAAACTTGCGAATTATGGTTTCTGCGCACCACAAGCAAATGGATCTGAGGTAAATTATAAACTAAGCTTTACAAGTAACGAGTAATTATCGGCTTGCATTGTTTTCTTCCGTTTTTTATTTGTTTCGAACTATAAATTTGAGAATGTTGTTGCTGTGCAGCCCCGAGAAAAAAAAACACTAATTCACGGTGACCAGATGTTATCATTTTCACATAGTTCTGAGCACCCAGAATTAGCAATTTTTATAAAGCATCTAATTTTCATTTCTTTATGAGTGTAACATGAGAGTCATAACTGAAAATCCTGAATTAGTTGCGATCATATGCAGAATGAAGTTTTACAACTGGGTTCGCATGGCTTATCGTTCCATTTGTTTTATAGTGCAATTCCACTTTTTTATTTTCCTAATTGAAATGTTACGTGATTGCGATCTTAACTAGAATTGCAGTTGCTATTTGCTTTGTAATTGAACAAATGGCGATATGAATTTAGCAGTAAGAAACAAAAGTCCAAGCAAATTTTGACAAGGCTTTTTCTTTCTAAAATTTGATTGATGTGAAGATTTTAGACTTATATGTGTGACTCTTTATACGCTTTTGCATAACTGGAGCTGTTAATTCTGGGAATGTCTTTTTTGCGGCGATGAATGAAGCTATTCTCATAATTAGTATGCACAACAAAAAGGGCTGGGAATGTGAAGATAATGAATTATCTTGCTGCTCATCTTATCTTTTATCGTGCTTGATAGCTATGGCGGAATTTGTCATTTCGAATTTCTTTGCTCATTTGTATTTTTGATGGGGTTTTGAGATGTTTAGAATCAAAGAAAACATACGAACTATAGTTGTGTGAAATCTTTTATTATACACGGAATTGCTTGGCCGCTTTTCTTAGAACGATTTTATAAGCTTAATATTATTAAGAGGATAAGTTAAAACCTTTGAGGACAACACGAATACAGATAAGAATTGATAGTATGTCACATGGACAAAATTTGCGGAGTGCTAGAAATTTGGAATTTCTGACAATCATGAAAAATTTTCGAGGATTTTCTCGGGATGAATTCCCGAAAATTCATCCAGTATATATCACTGGCCTGTTGGCGCTATAGCGAGATATATTAATGAAAAAACAAATTGTTTGCACAACTGACCGATGAATATAGATCAAGTATTTATATGAAAATGATTTAAGGAAAAAAAATCATTGAGTTGTAAGTTAACGTGGAATTACAATATATATAGCGTGGACTAGATGTATCACTTGACTGACATATACATACCGAAAATGTTAGTAGGAATAATCATTTCCTCAAATAGTGGGAGCAGTGGCTTTTGGCTATTCATGTAGTTATTCATATCCGAAATGCTGAGGAATCTCTTGATTATTATGTGCAAGAAATGGCGGATTAGCATATTATGCTTTTTTTTGCATTCAGATTTATAAAGAAGATTTCCATGGAATTTATGAAAAGCAATTTTTTGATGAAATATTTATGCACACTTCAAGATAGAAGCTGTTTTTTCGTTTTTTCAAACCTCACTTAGAACTAGTTTTAGATTTGAAACTTTGTTGCTATGAAATTTGAGAACTATGAAATTGTTACTTCATGTATTGCATTAATTTCCGCTGATTTTTTTCGGATCTTAAATATTATTAATACAATCTTTATAAAATTGCTTATCTTTCCTGTAAATTTCTGGTCAGGCATAGTCATTTAGATTTGAACAGTTATTAAGTTGTGTTATTAATTTTCCAGGAAAGCCGAAGAAAAGGATATGCCACCTGCAACTCTCTCCATGACTTCTTCCTTCGTCTTTGTAGGGTATGTAACTTGATTTTAGATCCCATCTCTCATGTTCTTATTTTTTCATTTTAATGCTAATTGATAAAAGTTGCAGGATAAGGAGCGTGTCAGCGCTGAGAAATTTACGCCACAATTCACCTTTAGTGAACTTCCAACAACCGATACCGATGGCAAATCTCCGAAAAAATTCAAGTTAGTATAGTTAGTGCTCTTGTTTGATTTTGTTCAACTAAGGTTTTTATTAAAAGATGGTCGCACTATTATGTATCTTTCGATTGTAGTGATCGAGATTACTTTCATTGTTATATTGAAATATCAAATGAGCTCCAATACTTCAAATTTCTTAAATATTATTCTATATTACTAGCTAGACGGTTACTCACCACGGTTGTTTTAACTGTATTAAATCAGCAGATGAATTGATGAAATAAAAGGTTCCACTTTCCTCTGAGAGGTGATGCCCATCGTTGGCTTAGCTAGCACCATAATTTATGGCAGTGCGATTATTCGAATATATTTTCATTTCAGTCAGTACCGTTTTATTTCTGGATCAGTTTTAAAAAGCTTTCAGATGTATGTTGGTTTTGCCTCATCAGGGAAAGGTTTACTCACACGAAGGCTATGGAAAATCACCGATCAAAAATGCTGTCATCCGTGAAGTATATTTATTGTAGTTCTCTTGTTGCTTTTACCATTTTCTTTTTTGTATTTGCTTATGTTCACAGATTGATCTGACAATTTCTTACAGGCGCTGGTTGATGTTTTCGACGTGCCACAAGAAGAATTAAAAGTGGTGGAACGCCGAACAATGAATCTCAAACCAGGCAAACCAATGCAAGTATGATTTTCTAGTACCTTTAATTTTTGTAGAATTCCTTTGTGCTTCAAAGTTATTATATTATTATCTCACAACTGCACAAAAAAGCGAATGGATAATTTCACTTTATATACGGCAGAAGCTACTGAAGCTTACAGATCATGCTTATGAGTATCCCTATTGAATTAAATGAGGAGTGGAAGTCATTACCGTCATTGCATGCCCGAATTTTTCCTGATTCAACTGTTAAACTACAATTCTTTTTTCAAAAAAAACCCTTGCAACAAGTTATATTTTAAATACAACACCAAATAAAGATAAAGACGGGGACTAATAGGATAGGAAAAAAGAACTAGGGACCAAATGCGGAATAAGGAGTGAAAAATGTAATAAAATGAAATGAACTGAATTGATATTCCACTTTCCAATTGATATTCCACTAAAAACAGTGATTTCCACTTGTGTTTTTCATCATAAAAATCTAATCATATATAAGAGGGTTTAAACTAAACACTACCGTAATTTGGGTACCTTTGGTGGTTATCTCTTTATCATCAGTGTTTCTATCCTGTTTTTTTTTTTGTCTTTGGCACATCCACTTGATCCCATTTATAAGAAAAATTTCATTATTACATCGGTAATAAAGAAGTCTAAATAGTGATCAGTCAGAGCTCAAGCATTCGCTTTTTTTGAAAGTGTTGTGTGATGGTAATATTTGCCTTGAGGTTTTGATACAAGCGCTCAGTTTCTACGATCGTACCATGCAAGTGGATGTGGACACCGTTGACGGAAAACCCGTCCAAGGAAATAGTCGATTCATCTGCCGCATTACGCTCGACAATAATAGTAAGCATGTGCTGGCGACTTGTACTGACCAAAAATTGTTATCTTTCTTTTCCTTTTCGACCTATTTGAAAATCAACAAGAAAAGTAAAGGAAAGTAAAAAAACAAAATGCAATGCGGTCATTACAGGTCGTTATTACATGTTTTATTTTACGTGATAAGAGCGGTTTTATGATTGTTTTTCTGTAGGTTAAAAATTTTTAAATCTGATATAACAGATAGCCATTAAGTAGGCTTATATCCTTTTATCCTGTTTAATTGATACTCGCTAACAAAGGAAGGACTATAATGACGGCTCATATTTTGAGTCTAAGATTTCCGTGTTCTAATATGTTTGAGGAAACGGTTGCGCCATCAATAGAAATTTCCTTACACTGAATTCATGATTAATGCCGGGCAGTTGGAGAACGTATATTGCCAACATTTTGCAGTGATATTATGTCAAATAGTTAGCAAAACTTAGGAATTTTGACATAAGTTTACTGAATCTATGCTTTGCCTTTAATCAGTCGTTAAAAATCAGTGAAATATATTAGGATCACCTTTGTAATGATTTGAAATTATATTGCTCAGATAAAACTTAAAAATGACGGAATGTGCGTGAGAATGTTTCTGTTTTTTTTTTTGCGGTGTTGACATATTAAATTTACAAATTTTTAGAGACCATTATTGGTCCACCTCAAGATAACAAACAAAAGGCCAAGGATTCTGCGTGCGAAAAAGTCCTTCTCGAAGAGCTTGATCTAACTATGCCATCGGAAGATGCGAAAGTGAAGAGAGCAGCCGCTGTTCTTTCGCCTCCATATGCATTACATCAGCTGATGTTGAAGCAAAACGTAAATGCTCTTACATTATAGGAAATATTACACTAATAGTTTCATATGAGCTAAGAAATCTCACGTCTTATAATTAACAAGCTAATAATGTGGATTCTTTGAGGCCATTCATGGAGTCAGTAAGCTTAAGGAATAATGGAATAATGAAAAAAAATTGAGTAGCAAAGAGAAAAACATCATTCGTAGAAAAACTTATCGGTAAATAACGTCCATCGAGAAATATTGGTGCGTTTTCGGAAGACTCTGACGGATTAAATATATTGTGTAATGAAATGAGTACATAGAGGACAGTAGTGTATACTTTTTCTTAATTAGTCCAATAACAGAACAGTTGTAACGTTTTCCAAAGAATGGACTCTTTGAGTGATAGATATTCTTCATTGCTTTTATTCAATTGCTTTATTAAGAATCATCAACAACCTCGAAGAGTTGATATTCAACATGCCTTGAGGTATCAGAACAGTCAAATGCAATATTCGGTGATATGTTATTATTGATAATTTAACGCGCAAATGAAACCGCAGGTTGCTGGATTTTTTTTAGATTTTCAGTTATATTTACAGCGTAAGAAGAACCCGGACTTAGTGTATGATGAACCACAAGATATCAGCGAAGCACCTAATAAACCACCAATGTTCAAGTGTACTTTAACGGTAAATGGAACACATAAGTTTGAAGGTATTGGACAGTCGAAGAAAACTGCTAAAAGTGCTGCTGCTGAGCAAGCGCTGACCAAGTTATTCAAGGTTCTTTTGTCATCCATCGAAATCATAAAATTTGTTCAAGGAAGACTGTAAAAGCTAGGTGTATATGACATACTGTCACAGTATGTTTTTTAGTATACCTAGTTTTTTTTTTTTTTATATACCTAGTTTTTTAGTCATCAGTTATCTATTGTTGTGAGCAGAATGATGTAAGATTTTGACTTAACATATAAGAGGATTTTCTTATATTCTGAAGATCTGGTCGTCGTGAATTTTCAAAGAAATAAATGATCGGACATTGTAAGTGCTAAGTTCCCCCTATTTCATTGTGTTGTGGTGTATGTTTTAGGATCCTCGAGAATTCCCATTATTATGGCGATATATTCTGGTTAGGAATCAGGAGAACAGAAATCATTAGTAAGATTATTAATAAAAGGGAGGGTAGATTGTAAATTAAAGAAAAAAGTGGAGTAGGTGAAAGAATTTTTACCTTTTAATTGTTTACTTGATATTTCGCATGACATCTTTGCTGTTTTAGTTCGATCTCTGCGCTGAAAATGCGCTTGAAATGATATCAGTGAAGAAATCGAGAAATGAAGAGGATGTAGTTTTCTGTGCCGACATCTGCTCTTTTGTTCGCCAGGAGTATGAAGGAATATGTCACCAGCAAGCGTGTCCTATAACTACTCATATTTCTGCGTAAGTTTCATTCTTGTTCAGAGTAAATTATGCAAAATTATCTCGAAAAATAATTTTATCAAATTAATCTGGAGTGCATTTTGATTTTTGGGGATTTAGTTATAGATTGTTCTCAGGTATTTGGTTTCAGTTTTGTTCTAATTGCACCAAATGGCGAAAAACAGTTGGTTGCTATTGGAGCAGGCCGTAACGCTGTTATTGATGGTCAAGTTTTAACAAATGCACAAGGCAATGTGCTTATTCACATGCAGAGTAAAGATTGCTTCAATTGAATTCATTTCTACTTGATTTGGTTTCTTCTAAGTTCACTGTGAGTAAATGAATTGCCGATGTTTGGTGTTACTGATTTGAAAATTTTTAAATGAAAGAGATTTTTTCATTACTTCGTAATAATTTTTCTAGGTACGGTCTTGGCACGTCGTGCATTTGTTCTCTTTCTACATGGCCAAATAAGAAACCATAATGCAGAAAATAGTGTTGTCGAACGTTCTCCAGCATCAAATAAATTTCGTCTCAAGGTTTGTTTTACATTTCTAGATGTATTTCATGTTCAGTATAAGTATGCTTGATTTACTAAGACTAATCCCCGATTAGGGGCCAAATTTGCTAGTTATCCTATCTTCTAGGGCAGGAAAAAGATTGTTCCACAATGTACTGAAATATGAGATGAGATTTAACAATCATTAGATAGTAATAGTTTGTACTTCAGATATTCTTACAATTTTTTTTTGGTTACAATAATTGCGCTAGAAGATTTTCCTCTGAAAAAAATTATTTATCATTTTCTAGACTGGTTATCAAGTTGTACTTTATGCATCGTTCCCACCAAATTTGCGCACTAGCGGTGAAGTACAAAAGTTATCATGCTACATGGGAGGAGTTCGACTGGAGGATCCTCCGGAAAATCCGCAAACTTTCAGTGATATCGGAACATCCGGGCATGTTAATGTAATGAGCGTGGCCGATAAGATATTGAAATGGAATTATCTGGGTTTGTTTCATGTTTTATTGCGAAAAGCTCAATGATAGTGACGAATAAATTCGACATTAATAATATTCCATTCAATCTAAAACGAATTAAATTTTCAAATTTCTATGGTTCATCGAATATATTTTCTCGTTAATAACATTCGAAGATTTAGCATGGAAATGAAATATTGAAACAGTACATGTGGTTCTGTTTCATTATATTTTTCAAGACACGGCGTTAACCTTATTGCGCATAATTTCTGTATTTAAGGATTGCAAGGAGCACTTCTTTCACATTTTCTGGAACCGACATTTATTACACATCTCTGTGTTGGTGCACCCTCCAATGATAAAGCTATCACACACGCCGTACTGCTTCGATTTGGTGATATGCGACGAGGTGAACTAATGGTGAAATCTTCTCAGACCGGTGTAGTACCTCACGGAGAAATGTATCATAATTGGGTCTCTGGAATAGGTATCTTTTTGATTTCTATATTTCTTATTTGATCTGCTTATTTTTGTTAAATCTATTGGTTTTTGTTATAGCCATTTGAACTTTTGAATAAGATATGCACAGACTTATGCTCTAATATTTAAAAGGCTACAAAAGTGAATGTACTTTGCGATAGCACACACCAATATTCATTGGTTTATAAATGTTAATTGAAACTTGTCTAATTAAATCTATATTTATGATTATTTGAGATTTATTCATGTAATAGCGAGATAGTACTTCCTTTACACCTTGTAACATAGCCTGGTAATTTGTATATGTTACCAAATTTTTTCTTGTAATTTTAAATTGACTTTTTGGAATGTAGACTATGTGAATATCATTTATTGCAAAAGAAGCTAGTTCTTTTTTTCGTCTAAAGTTTGTATATTCGTGTCATCAATCAGATTTTTCTTCTTTTGCGCAGGAACCATTGAACGTTTGGATCCATTTACCGGTCGCACAGTAACTGGTTCCCCATCACGTCTTTGTAAATCAGAATTGTACGAAAGTTGGGCACGTGTAATGGCGGCACTTAAAGCAGATGGATACAAGCCTGTTTGGAGCTGTTCAGAAGCAAAACAAAGCGAAGTAGTATATCAGCAGACATTGCAAGCATTCCATTTGAAACTGCATGAAAATGGTTTGGGCGTGTGGCAACGTAAAGAACCACAGGTGGATGGTTTTCAGTTAGCTTTTTTCAATGAATAATTGTTTTTGGTAATGAAATATTTGGATATTCGGTATTTAAAATATTTGATGTGGAAATGTATTTAGTTTACTTATTGCATTTTTTTTCACTTTAATTGTGACCGTCTTACTAAAGCTTTTGAAATATTGTGAGTTCAGACTGGAGATTGCTATCAATTAGAGATACCAAAAAGGTATTGTTTTATACTTTTTGAATTACCAGCAGTTGTATTGTCGTTTGAAAATTGTTGTCTTTTTCGATCGGATTAATTAGGTCACGTTAAAATAAGCGTTTTAGTGGATATTCCCCCACTCTTCATTTTATTTTAGAGCTTTATTTTGAACAATGCGGCAACTTAATATTGTCATATATGTGTGTCATTTCAATTTTGATATGTGCAAGAATTTTGTGATATTTATTCAGCTATTCTTTCTAGCTGTTATTTTTATGAATTTTCCCCACTAGAATATACCAACTTTATCCTGCTTGCATTTACTGATTAGTATTTTACACTTTCATATGGCACACTTATATGAATTTTATATTCTTTCAAATCATCTTTGTGTGTGCAACACTTTCGAATCTTACTACTGTTTTAGTAACTTAAAGGAGTGTGTTCTCTTTTTTATTTTATTTTTTTATTTTTTCATGCCGGTTGTGAACAGGAAATATTAGAACCGGATGTTTTTTGCTTACAGTAATAAATTCCTCATGTATTTCGTGGTTAAATACAGGAGCAGTACAGGGGCTGTTTATCATGCATTTTCCTTGAAAGTTGCCCTCCAGTCATTTTTTTCTTAGTAATCATTCTTATGCCAGTATCATTACGAAAGATCTAGGACGTTTTATCAGAGCCTTCTCATCAGATAACTAATCTTCATTTAGTAAGGTTATGTTAGTATTCCTGGGGAAATTATCGGTTACTTGGCCACTGCAGAATGCTTGAAAAAAAAAAGTAAAGTAAAACGAATTATGCGTGGTGTGTTTTTGTTTTGTTAATTTTCTAGTTATTCAACATGGTTAATGTTGAAGCACGTGAGAACACATATTACAACATAAAACTGCAAAATCCCACGCATTGTCCGATGTCAACTGCTTCACTTGAATAGGAATTATAATTCCACAAAATTAATGCAACTATTCAACATGATGTGAAGATTCTGCAATTCTTCAAACACACTATGCAACTACTCTCTTCCTATTTAATGTTTAAATTTTATCTATTCGCAATTTTTAAAATTTGAGTCTTTATAATATCATTGTTACTCAATGCATAAACTACGTATATAAATGAGACACTGGTATAGAAATCTGATTAATTTTTTGTAAAAAAAAGGCAGAAACTTTATGAATAACCCAAAAATTAACATAAAGTAAAAGAAAAAGAAATATTTCGACTATCATTTAATTTTATCTTTTAATTGTTTGTCTTTTTTTACCTGATGATATTTTTAATTTCCCTAAAAAAATTATCAATTATTCTTTTCCTTTTTGTTATCTTTTCCAAATTAGAAATTAAATTTTGTCATACTTTTTCAAAGGAAAAAAAAAGTAAAAAAATATTGTTCACTTTGAGAATTTTGATTATATTCCCAATACATTGTAAGTTTTCTTCCGAATCTCTTCCGATTCTCATTTTATTGACTACCGCATTTCTTCCTCTTTAAATTTTCCATCACATCACATCTTTTAATAATTATATACGTTTCTCTCTACATATGTATATATGTGTGTGTGTATGTATGTGTGTATGTGTATATATGTATGTGAATGTAAATATAAATATAAAT